CCTAAACTCAGAATTCTGAGATTAAAGTCAGAATTCTGAGGAAAAAAGTCAGAATTCTGAGATTAAAGTCAGAATTCTGACATTAAAGTCAGAATTCAAATAATATTTTCATGGTGGCCCTAATCCTCTTCCGTAGATTTAGAACGTTCACTGAAGCATGAATAATTGATTACATCGGAGCGCTGTTTACATAGAGTCATAGAATTTACCGCTGGCTTAATCTCCAAAACTGTGAGCGAGCCAAGCAGTTCTACCTGTGATACCACTAGAGGTCAGTATTTAACCACTATTCCATTAGTATATGCGAAAAGCTGGTTCAAACAGGAGTGCAAGTGGTAACAACAAAACGTCCACTGTTACACTTGCAAGGTGGAGTTGTACTCTCTTTCTCTCATAGATAAAGCCTTCATCTCTGTAGCATATGACTACACCTTTCTCCTGTGGCATAAAAGCTTCTTTTGTGTGAGGCCTGATCGTCTGGTTTCTACTGACTTGCCATCTTCAACTAGGGAGTGAATCCACAACCTGGCTTTATGGCTGTCAACTGACCCTATTGGTGAGTTGCTGATGATTGAGCAGGCATACACAATGGCAAAAACACCACAGTAATAACCATTGGCTTGTTGTGGGACATTTATGACATCTGTGACTGTCCAGTCAGATGCCCGAAAATTTTCTCCAGCTGCTCTGTAAATGCACGCCACAACTTTCAGGAGAGTTGAGCTTGTGGTTCTTGGCATTTCAGAACTGTGGATTGAATTAAATATGCAATTTCCCATTCTGTGAAATCTGCTGCAGCAAGAAGCCAGTGTGAACCAGGACCTTGCACATCAGTATTAAAGGGCATCAGGACTGTATCAAAATTTAAAGCTCTCTGAGCTGCACAAAACTGTAAAACTGGGTCAAAGTTTGAAAGTGCAGCCATCTGATAAAAAAATGTGGGCATACACAGAACTGAGTCCGACACCTTAACTTGACCTATGTAGCCTGTGATGGCCCACTCAATAGTTTCCCCGTTGAGCCAGGTAAAACTCTAGAATTTTATTAATTGAAAAAAATGGCCAGTGACTATGGCTACGTTCACACTGCCAGCCACATCGTTCAATTCCGATTTTTTGCTCAGATCGGATTTGTCTAT